ATCGACACCACGCAAGAGATGATGGAAGAGCTGGAGTTGTCAAATGAAGACATCGACGAGTACATGAAGGGGGCCCCCAAGTTCATCGATCTGCTGCGGGATGCCACAAAAAGTAAAGCTGAGAAGTTGGATCAGTATCCAAATTTCATTAAGAGGGATGTTGACCGCCGGCTTCAGAAACAGCTCGACCCCATAGCAGAGGCCTATCGAGAACCTTACCGGGTATACGTGAATTCGGATGAGGATCAAAGGTGGAGGAGCATCGTTTCCCGCAGAGATGAGCAGGTCAAGAACATCTTTTGTGTGATGGACTTCACAAACAAGGAGATCACTCATGCAGACGAAGTCAGCTCCATCATTGACTTAATGGTGGGACTTGCGGAGGTGGAATCTTCAGTTTACTATATGATCTACGACTCCGAATCCTATCACAAGTTCTGGAAGGCCTTGAACGAGGTGAAGGCTCGGTTGAAAGGCAAGGAGATGCGGGAGATCCATGGGATAATGGCTAAGAAGAAGATACTGACGAATGTCCGCATCTTCACACTTGCCCTTGTTATTGGTCCTGCAGCAGAGTGGGACTGGAGTGACTTCCCAGCTTCATTCGACAAGGCCGATCGAATTGATCTGAGGGAGGTCAATTTACCCGTGCCTGAGGAACTGAAGACGGCTATGGAGCTTTCGAATCCAGAGAAAGCTCCAGGTGCAGCATGGGAAATGCTCAGCTGGGTCTTCAATGCAATAGCGGGTGGGTCACCTGCTTCCGACTCCAAGGGCAAATGCGTTGTCGAGTACAACTGCGGCGGACTATTCTTTCAAGCCGCACTACTCAAGGGTGTCCCGTGTGTTGCGGTGACAAACTCCATTGAAGAGGTGACTTCAATGGAGCATATAATTACAATTGCCAAAGAAAAACAGTATCTTCTCTGCGAACCTGGTGAGTACGCACTTTAAGTTTAAATGTTTCTCACAAGCTCTGTATGCAGGAGCGTGGTCACCCCCAGATGCTGAAACGGCGTTAACAGCTACTGTTGAAGATACCCATGTTGGGCCGAGCTCACAACCTGCACAAGGTAAGGTCACGTGAGGCCTCACGCCATTTTGATTATAGATCGTTATGAATATTCAAACACGAGGACTGAAAAGCGCACTGGTGGCGCGTCGAAGAAGGACAAACAGACAAGCAATAAGAAAAAAGGAGGTACAAATTATATTTGCAATGGCGTGTGGTCTCATGCCATTCCTTGCAGGAGACACTTCTTTAAAGGCAAAACAGGCAAGCACTAGCCAAGTACAACGGACGAGAGGTACCAATCATTTTTGTTATACGTGAATTCTCATGCCATTGCTTCTTGCAGCTCAAATTCCAAAGAGACTAGGGCAAGCAGCGCAGACCTCACGACAAGAACCTGAAGGTTTGATGGCGTGTGGCCCCACGCAATTAACTAATGTTCTTGCAGATCGCGTCGAGGAAATCGAACGGAACAACGTGCCTCCAGTGGAGGAGGGGGAGGCCTCGGAGAGTGATAAGGAGAGTTCCGAAACAGGTACGATCATGACATATGGCCCCATGCACTTATCTAAGTTTGTATTTCAGGGGAACGAGTTGAACCAATGGAAAACTTTATGAAAGGTAACTTAAAAATATTATGGGATGTTGCATGTGTTGATGCAATAATATACAGTTCAAGTGCCAAGGAGACGTCGTGAACCTCGAATTAGGCTACCTGCAAAATAGCTTTCAGACGCTGTAGACAAAGAGATGGACAACCGACTAGGGTAGAGGAGGAAGGGTAAAAGCATTTGTGTGATTATCGCGTATGTCCTCATGCTATTTCTGTAGAACGGGCGCATAAGAAACGAAAGAGAAAGGGAATTGAGGAGCAGGCACCTGAGGATGCGGAAGGCACGACAGAGCCTCCAAGGACGGGAAGTAAAGCGTCATGGTTATTGCGTGGGTCCTCATGCCATTTTTCTTGCAGATCAAGCTCAAACTGACAGTGGTCATAAAAAGCGAAAGCACGTTGAACAGTCGTCGGGATTAGAGGCGTTTGATTCGAAAAGGAAGAAGGGCAACGAAAAGATGATAGGTAATGCCTCGCGGTTATGGCGTGTGTGCTCATGCCATTCATTGCAAATCAAGGGCTGAGTGAAAGCAGCCAGTCACCACCTCCTGACTCAGATTCCTATGGCGGACTCCCCTTCCCTAATCTCAATGGAGAGGTACAATGGATGAGGGATGCTTTTCAAGTCAGGGCCACGTTTTTCTCACCTCGTCGTCTTCGAAGGGTGCAAGAACGTGCAGAAACCATGTTAAGACAGTCGGGTGAGGATACGGTCCTAGGTCACGCACTAAAACAGGCTATGGATGTCTTGTATTTTGAGATGGAGACTTGGCCAGATGATTTTCCCAAGATGGTCCTGGAAGAACAAGCCATCCAGCCTGAGCAGCCTATGGAAGAAATGCAGGAGGGGGATGAGGAGCCAAAGAAAGATAATGAGCAGGAAGAACAGAAGGATGAAGAGGAGGACGAAGAGGACTTGGATGGTCCTCACAATGGTGACGATCACAATAATGACGATGACGATGATGACAACGATGGCCAGCCTGAGGTGGCCAAAGAGCAGCGGAGGAAGGTCATACAAGACAAACCATCAGGTAAATAATAGTACATCCATTCCTAACCTTTTACCATTTCTAACATTGTCCATGTAGGTCGCAGAGCAAATGGTAAGTAGAGATTATTCAGTTGAATTAAGATACAAACTCTAGCCTTTAGTGTCGAGGAAGGATAGTGCCAAGCAAGGGTCGAAACATATGTCCAATCCTTTAGAATCAGCAGTGCGCCCAAGTGATATTGGTCCTAGTTCCTCAATAGCAGTTGATGGTAAATACAGTATAGTCGATTCAATGTGCTAATGAGTTTGTTTTTAGTAGCACGGGAGGATACCATCTCAATCGAAGGGAGATATTTGGACATGCATATGGATCCGCCAGTGGACTCTACTTGCCTGCAAGAGTCATCAGAGCTGGTGGAGGCTACTATCCATATCAACGCCAAGCAAGCTGACCACGCTCCACTTGATGCTGCCCATACCACTGAGTCAATCTTGTCCATGTATCCAACTGATGGTGACAAGGTGCCATTGGACCCGCATGAGGCCGCCCCAGCCGCCGAGCCGGTCGTATCCTCATTTCCAACGGACTCAATGTGTGCCCAATCGTTTGACTATGCGCCGTTGGAACCTCCCTACACTACCCCTATTGCCTATTCGGTCATGTCCACTTTGTCAACGGAGGCACCAGCTGAAATGGCGTGTGATCACACGCCATCAGAACCACCCCATGCCACTGTTGAGCCAGTTGTACCAGAGTCTACAGCTGAAATGGCATGTGCCCACACGCCATCGGATGCGATTGACCCCACATTGTAGAGGAGAGTATTTCCGCCCTTCACGTTTCCTCGACCAAAACCCTCTCAACGACCATCGGGAGCACCATTCGCTAATATTGTAGATGGTAAAATTGACTTGTACCATTTTTTATATTGACGCATTTCATTTCAGAGTCACGACGAAGGTACTATATCATTTTTGATCTGAACGGTGTCCTTTTCTCCTATGAGCGTGGCTCGTCCTCGAATGTCACTGCACCCTCCAAAGCCTGCGGTCGCAAGTTGGTCAAAAGAGACAGATTCACATTAATCACACGGGAGAAACTGCGGGATCTAATAATGACCATGCGACACTTAAAACAGAGGGCCGGGTTCAATTTGCAATTGGGAGTTTGGACATCCATGATGCGCCACAATGCATTAACGTTGTTATAGATGATGCACGATCAGACGCGAGTAATATTACCATTTGACTTTCTCCTAACGCAGAAGGATTGCTTGACTATGGTCCATGTGAGGGGTAGCAAGCCCATCTTCGTCAAGCCAGAGGCTGTAGTGATGAACCGGACTGCTAGGTCAAGTGAAATCCTCATCATCGATGACTCGCCGATTAAAACTGCAGCGAACACGCACACATATGCAGTGCACCCCATCTCTTGCAGTATGGAAACTAGGGAGAAGAAACCGTATGTTCTGGGGGACCTTGCAAAACGGCTTGGAGCGATGGTGATAGAGAACCGGCCAGTCCAGGAGGTGGCTGCAGAAATCAACCAAATGGCAGATGGAACGGTATATCAGAAGCCATTTGATCGGACAGACACCAGTCATCATTTATGGCATGTATATTGTCTAGCCAAGCACTATCCGCATCTCCATAATCTGCTCAACCGGATGGGTTCTTCAACCACTGAACATGAGCGTGGACGTATTAGAGAAGAGATGGCATTACTATTGGGTTTAAATCCTGATAGTGTGGAGAGTGATGAAATTCCAAGATTATTGTATAGGCGTTGGAGGCAAAAAATAACAGTCTGAGATGACATGTATTTATTTAAAAATGTAACTTATTATGGCATGGGGTTCCATGCCATTGTATTAATATTAAAAGACAATTCTTTGAGAGGATTTGCATTATACTAGAAGTGTTACAGCATGTTATTGGAAGTCTACGAAGTTGTTTTATTAATAAGGGGAAAGTAAAGATTGAATGGGGACTTGGGCTCCACCTAGACTCGGAGCAACTGAGCCAATATTAAAAGGATGGAAAGAAATTGGACGACGATGACAAGGAGAAGAGAGAGGTGAAGCAGTGGCAAGGGGAGGAGAAGTGATTGAGTAGACATTTCTTTGTTTAAAATAAAATGGCATGTGCCTCAATGCAGTTGAATTTTGTTATATTTATATACTATATAAAGGTTTTGAAACCTTATTTTACAAGTGGGATAATGACAATTCCCACTTTAACGAAATAGAGCTTAAACGAGGGTGTATGATCCAGAAGGGGAACTAAGGAAGGTAGCCTTAGAAGAGTGTCAGAACGAACCTTTTGTGGGACACGGCAGAGTGCCCAAGACGATAGGCTTACTCAAAAGGAAGTATCACTAGCCAGATATGGCTAAGGACGTCCAAGACTATGTAAAGACATGTCCAACATATCAGCAGGTCAAAGCCATGACTAAGGCTAGTGGGGGCTTGTTACAAAGCATCCCAATTCCAGATTGTCCGTGGAAATGTTTTACGATGGACTTCATCATGGGACTCCCCCCAAGCGAGGGGTTCGATGCGATATTCGTGGTGGTGGACCGATTTTCAAAGATGGCACATTTCATACCCACCACAACGGAAGTGGATGCGAAAGGTGTGGCAAAGCTATTCTTTGAACAAGTGGTTCGAGTGCGGGGAAGGCCAGAAGAGATTATCTCAGATCGAGATAAGATCTTCACGAGTAGGTTCTGGAGAACTCTCTTAGAACAGTATCGCACCAAGTTGAAATTCAACACAGCCTATCACCCACAGATAGGTATTGGGTATTAAGTCAAGTTTGGTGGCACTAACACTTCTTGACAGACGGACAAACGGAAAGAGTGAATAGGCAACTGGAGGATTATTTGCGATGTTATGTCTCAGGAGACCAGACCGATTGGGTAAGTCATTTAGGACTTGCGGAAATGTGTTATAACAACTCACTACATTCGAGTATCAGGGTGAGTCCATGGGAAGTCATTAATGGGTAAGCTATTGAAGGTCCTGTGGAGCTCGACATGGCCAAGTATCATGGAGAGTTACCCGCAATGGAGGCATTCACGGCGAAAAGACTCAACATTTGGAATCTAGTAAGGGATTCTTTGGAACGAGCTCAACAAAGTACGTGAACCAAAAGCTCCGGGATGTAGAGTTCCAAGCTGGGGAGAAGGTGTGGCTGAACACCAAGAATCTCAGGCTACCAAGTGGGATTAGCTGAAAGTTGACCCAAAGGTAAAAATGCATATATTCCTGTAAATGAATTGATCTTGAGTTCCTTAAGCAAGTTCGCGGGGCTTTATAAGATTGAGGCACGAATCGGTAAAGTGGCTTACCATCTCCGACTTCCTCGAGAGATGGGGAAGATGCACCCAGTGTTCCACGTGAACTTACTCAAGCTATACTTTGAGGATCTGCTTCACAAGGACCAAATAAGACCTTTACCTGAGGTTATCCAAGGGGAAGAGGAATACGAAGTCGAGGCCATCCTTAATGCGCGCAAAAGCAAGCGACAAGGACGCGATGTGAGAGAGTTCCATGTGAAGTGGAAAGGATTTCCACACTGCAAAGCAACATGGGAACCGGAGGAGAATCTAACGAACGCGCGAGATCTAGTGGAGGAATTTCTGCAAGGCAGAACTCTATGTACTTATGCAAAGTTCAATTAAAGTATCAATTTGTGAAGTTGAGCAATGGCATATGTTGGGACTCGAAGGTGTGCCAAAGGTAAGCTAATTAGTATGGGTTAGCTAGGTCAACCAGGCGTAGAGAACTACACCCGACTCCTCATGGGGATGTCGAATCCATAAATGTATTCTACGGAGGTTGGGTTCAAGTCCCAAACCCCTAGTAAAGCAAGGTTGGGTTCAAGTCCCAACCCCATACTAGGGCGTGGTGGGGTGAGGGGTATAGGGACACCTATATTCCGTTGTCATGGGCTCTTGGTTGGGGAGGCTAACTTAGGCACACTGCTAAGTGGGGGGATGCCCCCGGAGACATGGTCAACAAGTTGTAGGATAAAAAAAAATGTTCAATGTGGGCATCGAACTTCTTCTATGGGTGGTGGAGTTGTAAAGAACCAACTCCCCAAGGTGTCGTAGGCTAAAGGATCCCTAAAAGCATAACCGAAATGACAAAGAGTTCATCAGATGGGACTGAGTCTGAGATTGAGTCCAAACCCGACTCTGAGACCGAGTTCGAGACCAAGTTCGAGACCGAGTTCGAGACAGAGTCCGAGATCTGAGATCGGGTCCGAGATCGAGTCCGAGGTTGAGTCCGAAGTCGAGTCCGAGATCGGGTCCAAGATTGAGTCCAAAATCGAGTCTGAGACTGAGTCCGAAATCGGGTCCGAGATCGAGTCTGAGATCGAGTCCAAGACCGAGTCCGAGTACTAATACAAGTCAAGTGAGGTCCAAGAACCAGTCTTGAAGGAATTCTCTAGTGGTGCTTCCAAACTGACTTGAGGTTGAGACTGGGGCCAAGGGGCCTTGGGTGGGAGTGAGCATGGACTCGGGTGGTGCTGTAGGGGCCACCCAAGGAAGTTCTCAAGAGCAACTCCCACTCCCGAAAGGAGAACCAACTATAGTGCTCTTGGCTCATATAGAGTGGTGCCCCACTTAAGTACCTTATGGCTCATTAGTCCTCACCCTTCCTAGAGGCTTGGGCCTTCCCTTCAGGATAGAAGTGGGGGGGTAGAGGTACCTAATGTTTCGCCCCGATGTCCCGAAGCAAGTGTTGCACCCAAGGCTTGGGATGTAAAGGGAAGTCTTGTTGTACCAAGGGATGTTAAGAACCTAGAAGCTTGGTGTGCTTGGCTGCTTGTGCCTGCGGGGAGTGTAGCCGAACCTTAAGTCCAGTCTAACCCGGGGAGGGGGATTGGGAAAGATTTGGGAACCCGTGGATAGATAGCTAACGCTCCGTTGCTTGTGCAGTGAGTAGTTGAACCCAAGTAGGACCAAATAGGAGCTAGTATAATAGGCAGGAACCTTGGCAAGGGAACTTAGCAAAATCCAAGGTAGTATTGGTCGGATAGACGAGGTAAGCTGGCAAATTGGAAAAGAAAAATTTATAGCTTACAAGTAGTAAAGAAAGAATATCTAAAAGGACTAAATGACAGATAGCATTTGATACCTGAAGTCACATTCACGACACTTTCCCCCCTTTAGAGAAGATTGATGTCCT